GTATGTATGTGTATGTATGTGTCTGCATGCGCATGTGTGTTTTTTGTGATGCTACCACACACACACCTCGCCTCATTTGCCACAGTCTATGCGCTTCCCTTATTGGTTTAACCCTCAGACCCGAGACCAGCTTCAGTCAGTGTTTATGTCCATTGTGATCCGGCCTGGGCTCTGAGGGCTGATTTCCAGTCAGTTTCACCCTGTGGGTCCATTTATCTCCCGGCCCAAGCTAATCCGTCAACGACCGAAAGCCAGACAGGAGAAACTGCGTGAGGAGAGAGGTTGAATTTTTTCTTTTGATGTCTGAAAAAGTCTCAGGGAGAGCAAGAGAGCGGTAGCAGGGTGTTTCTGATTTTCCCCATGAAAAAATATATCATCATTACAAACGAGATTGATCTGAAGATTTCACAGTGGTCATGCAACTTGAGTGTCGCCTCCTTTTCTCACCTGTCCTCCGTTCATTCTTACTTCACCCGCCGCATGCCTGCCCCCCCTACCCCCAACACCATCCCTCCAAAATCCCAGACCCATTCATCCTGCCAGTCCAAGAGAAGGTACTGTAAGTGACCACAGTCATAATAATACAGAAAGACAAAGAGGTGGGTGACCAGTGGTACATTCATACATGAGAAAGTCATGGTTCCAAAAGTCACCCGACCCAATCGACATTAGACAGTGCTGAAGACGCCTGTGCTGGCCAGGCTGTGATAAATGCTTTGTTTAGAAACATGAATAAGACAAACACATCCCACCTGAAAATATACACCTCACCAAACCCACCCAGAACCCCCTCCCCCAACACACACCCCACCCTCCCACTGAAACAGGCTATGGTTATACTTGTCATTATAATGTGATATCTGAGCTTCTCATAAAAAAAATCTAACTGTATGATTTTTATATCACATTGCTGTGAATTTAGACTGGGTCTGAAAATATCAACACATATAATATTACATCTCCCATATGGCCGTATTCATTTAAAACTGTGTCCGCATTGTTTTCCCTTTTTTTTCTGCACAGGCCGGGTCACTTTTCCCCCTTTCCATCTTTATACATTTGCTCCTTTTCTCGCTGCAGTTGGAATTGGTCCAGATAATATAGAATTTCAATTACAATGCAAGCTTGGCCACTTCCAATTCTTGGTTTGACGATGGGACAGCAATGTGAGAAAAATCCAATTTTTGTGCATCCAGGCCTATCGCTTAATGCATCCTGCTGTGATTGGATGATAGGAATTGCACTGGAATGACAAGTTTAATCATAGCCGCGGCTACATCTACCCCATCAGTGGCCAAGAGTCAATAGTCAAATCAAAAGGACCCCCTGATATGAGTGCAGAGACATTTCCCTTGTGTTTTTCAGCTGAGAGGTGCTGTTCCACCCAGAGTTTGGGGATCAGAGATGAAGGGCTGCTTCCCAGACATCATAAGACCCAACCCTCTCTGCCAAGCCTGGGAAGGGTGTCTGTGGCTGGGCCATGGAAGGAGCTGGCAGTGGGGGTGGTTGGTGGTCGTATAGAGGTGGAGGTGGGAGAGGGGAGGACGGAGACAGAGGGCTTCCCTGAGGGGTGGTGGATTTAGAGGGACAGCCAGCCCAGCCCAGCGACCCTGGGTGGGAGCTCCAGGAAAAGAAGGAGAGGGGTCACAGCCAGGAGAAGAGTCCCAGGAGCAGTGAGGCCAGAGCAGTTAACAGGGCCACGGACCCTGGCCTCCACCTTGGACCTCCATCAGTCAGGAAGGGCTCCGGAGAATCGTATCCCGACCCATCTGAAACGGAAAGAAGAGAGAAAAGAAAAACGACAAAACATCTGAACTGAGAGGGACACACAGACAGATACAAAGACAACACAATCTCAAACAAGTGAATGAATGAAAGCAAATGACAAACCACAAAACTCGCACCCTTCAGAAGCCAAGGAAAGGCAGAGAGAAGGAGTCAGAAAGGGATGAGGAGAGGAAGGAGGGAGGAGGAGAAGACGACAGCAACTGAGCTCTGCAGGGGGTTTAACCAACCTAATTACAGTTTAATCACAGAGACTCGGAATCTGGAGCAGCTGACACACACACACACAAAGACTCACATCCACTCACACACATGTGCAACTGCTCACAGCTCACTCTAGTGACAATATTTCACAGATGAGATGGAAGTTGCAATGTCAGACAGATTACTTTAACAGCACAAAAAAAGCAGAATCTTTAAGAAGAGCTGCAGCAATGACAGAATAAAAGAATGTATGTTGTTTCAGTAATTATGGAGGAGGAGAGAATTTCTTTCCCCCTTAGCGAGATATGGAATGATCTGAGCCTGGAAAGCTGTGAAGGCCGACTCTCATCCTTTTACGAAGATCTTCAAAGCCGTGTCATTATCTGGGGAGATGTGCTACTACCCAGGTTTGATACTTTAGTCGGGCTTAGGTTGAAAACTCATGAGATAGAATCCGCCTTTGAAAAGACGTACAGGTAGATTTTTTTAAAGATAACGCAAATGGAGTGCAATGCCTGCCGCAATCCGATCCCCGTAATTGTGGCAATCTTTTGTTAAGTTATTTTTAAACGGCAATGTCATAGGCCAGCATGCCACACTTATATGAGCACTGCGCCCGGTCTACGCCAATATATGAGGCAGCTATTTTTAAAAAGGGATATCTTACTAGGCCGCATGCTGTTTGGAAACAAAGACTCAGTATTATGTGGCGAGCAAGTCATGCTTCATCTTTTACCAAAAGGCTGATGCATTAGGAGAATTTTATTAGAAAATATGAAGTGTCTATTATTAGATTAGACTTCTACAGTAGGCAATGGATTTATTATTAGATAGCTCTCTCGTTTCTTATGAGCAAATCTAGCTAGCGGAGTGATGTGGAGGCTTGGTAACATTTTTAGAGAGCACTTTCAGCCTGCTCTGTTCTCTTTCTGCAAGGACAGAAGGTCTCCCTCACACCCAGTGTGATGTGATGTGATTTGATGTGAAGTGCGTATGCCACTTTGTGCCTGTGTGCATGTGCGCGCTTCCCCCTGTCTGTGTGAATGCGTCAGAATGTGTGTGTGTGTGTGTGTGTGTGTGTGTGTGTGTGTTTTCAGTGTGTGTCTGTGTGTAAAGGTGTTAAAGTGTTGCCTGGCCGGTCTGTGAATCAGAGCAGAGAGTGTTGCCGGGGCATTCTATCAGACCTCTTATTCCCCCCTAATTTTACTTTGATAGCCAATCTGGACCTTTATGTGTGTGTGTGTGTGTGTGTAGTTAGAGCGTGACTTACCTGGAGGTCTGACATACACCTTCAGCTTTAGACATGCTCGCCCCACATGGTTTGGGTGAGGAGACGCTGTAAAAAAGCAGAGAGATTGAAAGAGGAGATTAGCTGAGAGATAAAGCGATTTGTGCTGCTGATCGCACTCATAAAGTAATTGAAAACATTTAATAAACGCTGTTTTTTTAAAATGTTGTTCTGTCTCAGAGTGCTGTGAGGCTTATTATCAGGTGGTTGGTTAGACTGGGAGTTCACAGAGACAGTACAGTAACTATGGCCCTGGGGCAAAAATGAAATGTGCTATTAACCCCTGCAGCCCATCCTCTCTCTGCATTACTGTTATCTTTAAGTAAACAAACTAAACACACACACACACATACACACACACACACACACACACATATATATATATAGTGATATG